GTTAGGTTTAGGGCAGGTTTAGTTTGTGGGTTTGGGGTTTAGATTTTAGGTTAGGTAAGTTTTGGAGGGAGCTGGTGCAAGCAGTCACCGATTTAGTGCAAAAAGTCACCGATTTGGTGCAGCCAGTAATTGTATGCCATCCCTTCTTCTTCTGATGACAGAGTGACCCATACGTTCTCGCAAACACGCCCGTTCGGATTCCTGCTTCGCTGCTGTCTGGGAAGACCTGCTTCGCAGCTGTCGCGCAGCGCGGGTCCACTGTCTTCGCTTAGGATGCATCTTGTGCTGTAGCTCCCAAGCAGCGTATCTCCCGAGAAGGCGTTGCTTACATCTGCAAGGGCAATAGATAATCTTAGGAGAAAGCCTTTGAATTGCAATTTTGCATCTTGGCCCCATCGAGATGTAGCAGACGCCAAACAAAGGGGGATGTGGCAGGCTTCCAGGTGCCACAACTTTGGGCTCCCATCTTCACAGTTAACTATTTTAGCCCTGCATCCCTGCCATTGCTGGGAGGTTGTCAGTGGTGATCCAACTATCTACACTTTGTTGCATGTTTTCTTTCCTTATGCTTGTTTGGTTGTGCGTGGACAGTGCTGGCCCTTTTCATGGGCCACAATGAGAGTTGCTGGAACATGCCGACTTTGGCCTGCCCACGATGAAGGAATAATCTCTTGATAGTCTGGAACAGTCATTCACTTTGAACAACAGCATCATCTAATGCGCTACTTGTTCTGGGTGATGGAGGTGCACAGTGCGCTTTTAGGCTGTGGCCGGTCACATCGGTGGCCAGCGAAAGAATGGGATCTTATGTGTGTTTTGTTGTGCTAGTGATCGGCTACAGTGTTGCTCTTGTCTGGGCACCTGAGATGGGCACATTGTATGGCCCTAAAAACGACCACCCAGATAGTTTGCCCAGGAATTCATGCAAATCTCCAGAAAGTAACGCTTCCAATTATCCACACTAAAAGGTGATGTACAGACATGGACGCGTGTTGAGCTGCTTGGTCATGTGCTGGTATATATGCATAGTCCTCAGGAATGTCGATTTGGTTTTCAAAAGTTTCAGCTATTATTTTGCACAGCCTACGAATTTCCTCAACAGACACAATTTCCTTGCAAGAGTTATGTTCCATGTCAGCTGCTAATGGAATTTTAGCTTGAGCAGCAACAATCTCTAAACTGTTTCAATCATTGTGTTTGTTGCCTCAGGTGCAGATTTTGAGGGAGTGGAGTCAGATGGCTGGTTCCGCACCAGCATGTACTCTGCAATGCCTCCGATTAACATCTCAGAAGATCTTGTGGATGCCAGGAGCTCTTGCAATATCTTTCAAATTGCAGTCTCAACGCCATTCTCTGAAATCCCAGATCACAAGTTGAAGTGGTATATCGAGCACTGGCTAGGTTTCCCTTCCATTGACAACGCTGTTGCAGAGAGGGTTGCTCCCAGCATCAATGAGTATGGGACGTTGGTGTTCAGTCAGGTCTCCACTTTTGATCAAGCATGCAAGAACTGTGCTCACTGGTTAGGTTGTTTGGGTGAGCTTATGACAGCAATTATCACCAAGTGGACAGGGTTCTAACTCTTGTTTTGGAAGCCATGTGGGATCGCAATCTACATCTACTCTTGGATATTGATTGTGCTGTGTTGTGAGGTCCCAAGAAGAAGGTCCATCTGCCAATGCATGCAAGGTCTTCGCCATTTCTGAACATTCTGTTGGTTGTTGCAAGACCAGGAGGGAGTAAAGGTGTTGTGTACCACACAATTGCAAGACACAGATGGCCACAAATCTACCGAAATGTACGTGCTGACCTGGAGGATTGGCTGCTGCCTGTGGTATAGGTCAACCAGCCTATGGACCTGCGGCTGGGAGATGATGACAATCCCCAGGATTATAGATGTCAGGAATTTGCACTGAAGCTTGCATTTCAAAGCTCTCACAGATGGCTTCGTTGGTCATTGCTTCAGAAGAGTTGATTGCAAGTGCTGCCCGTGGCTTGCAGCAGCTGAACAACCACAGCTGAAGTATCTTCAAGAGTGGTGAGGAAGCTTGCACAAGAGGTGCTATACTCAGGCCATGATGAGCAACTCAAGATGTTGCAGCTCATCCTGTTGGAGATGTCTCACCAGCTGCTTGACGAGGTTGGTCATCTCAAGTCCCAAAGCATGAGTCCAGAGGACCAAGCAGAGGAGATAATTTTGATGCTAGAGAATGGCCCACCTATGTTGGTAATAAATAATTTGGAGTCAGTGACTGCCCAAGAGCTGTCCATACAGAGCACACTCGCATTGGAGCAGCATGCGAGGTCTGCAAGTTTCTTTATCAGTTGATGGGAGATACAGTGGTGGTGCTAGGCTTCTGCAGCTGGGAAGAATGGTTGGAGGACTCATTTCATGACAATGTCCATCACTTAGTGCATCTTCATCCCAAGCTGCAGTTGTTCGCTCAAAACAGCCCGCAGCATGTTGTTGATGGGCATAGGATCCTGGCTTTATACCAAGCCGACTACAAGAGATTAATGTTGACGATGGCATGATGCCTCTGGTATGGAGTTTGTGTTGCCCAAGTAGCAGGCTCTGGAGCGTCAGGCTGAGGAGAAGATTCTGGCAGGGCTGGAGGTGGGCGACTTGCAGCCAGATGTGCCTTCTCAGGACAAGCCTGCAGCGTTGCGAATTGTGTGCAATACTCATGGAGGAAGCTGTGTTCTAGAACGCGGCAGTTGCAGTGTGCTTGGCACCCCTCAAGGGCATGTGATGACCAATATATTGGTCTGAGAAATGTTGTGCCACTATGTCGACAACTTGAAGGTTTTCAACATAGCGGCGCAACGTTTCCCAGACCAAATGATGAATTCTGCATGTTTTTTGCATTGAGTTTAGTTGGCAACAGTCAAACGTTTCGTTCAAGATTTTCATGGTTGCATTCAAATCGTCGGGTGGGGGTTGCTTTTGTTGTACAGCATTGAGTTTAGTTGGCAACAGTCAAACGTTTCGTTCAAGATTTTCATGGTTGCATTCAAATCGTCGGGTGGGGGTTGCTTTTGTTGTACAGCATATGCAGCAGCCATGATGACACATCAGTGCTGAGTGTGCAACCAGTGTTTCCCTATTTTTTACAGATGTGGTGCGCTGAATCGGATGAAACATAAATGCACATGCACATGTGCAGCGAATACAAGTGTTTCAAGAATTTGGTCAGAGATGCAGTGGCGTTGTATAGGAAAAAACTGGATGCTAAAGATGTTCATAGAGGAAGTGTGGGTTGCAATTGTGCTTGCTCAATTACAGACGCCTGCAAAATGCGTTGGACATGTGTGTCAAAGAACACAATAGTCTAGCCACCAACAGTGAATGTCTGAGTGGATGCTTGGAGTTGAAGAGCGACTTTCACAAAAGAGGCCAGGCGGGGTTGTCCAATTGGTGACCAAGTAATGCAAGAAATTTTGTAAGGTCGAGAATGCCAACATAGACTTGAGCGTATGGCTGCACAGTATTGGCTTGATCATCGGTAATTTGGATGCCATTGGGCAATACCGTAGTTACCCGGTGTTAATAGGCATGTATCGGACCCCGAAAATGAGCAGTGGATACTAACAATGGGTCATGTATACTAACGCGGTTTGGACCTCTGATCCAAGGAGTAGACAAAGAAGACTTTTGAGAAATAGGCTGTGAAATGCCCAGAAATGAGCAAAAATGACAATGCTATTATTGAATGTTGTCAGCCTCTTCACAGGAGCTGGCACCCTTGACTTGGGGCTGCACCAGGTGGGGCGACTGGCGATTGGGGCTAGCAGAGGTTTGCTAGAATGCTCGAGGCGTGTTTGTTTCTGCAATGCCAAGAACGAGGACCGACATGGGTCTCGACTCGCCGGGGCGACACGTCGCGACGATGGGCTTCACACAAGGCGTTTTCCTAGGCTGATGGGCTGGGATTGCTGATGGGATGTGTGTTTGGGTTTGTGGCCTGGTAGCCATTGGAATGTGCGAATTGGGGATGGATCTAGCCTTCACAGCGTTTTGCGCCCAGTATTGCAACACGGGGTCTCACAACGGCGGCCGCCCTGACCAGCGCCGTCGCCTGCTCATTCCTGGCGCTGGGCCTTGGGGCTCCCTTGGCGGCCACCTGGCCGGAACCTGCTCTGGCCGGGGAGCAGTTTGACTCAATCCAGAAACTAAGGCGGCTTCAATTTCTCGACCGTTTCTTTGATCGGGCCCCGCAGCATTGGTCGCTCCCCTGCGATCTTGCGCTGAGAGCACCAACGGCGGGCAGTCGACCATGCGGCTTTTGTGGGCCCCCCTCCAAATTCTTCCTCGACAGCATCCACCCTGGCCTGATCGTCCATGCGCGAATCGCCGGGGACCTGGTTTGGTCCAGTCTGGGCAACGCGCTCCAACACCAGTCGCCGAATTCCCTAACCAACATCAGCCCCTTCGCTAGTTTCTGTCTGTAGGAGTGGATACTAATACCGGGCCATGGATGCTAACGTGGTTTTGACCCCCAAAGAGGAGGGTGGATACTAGTAAGGGGTGCCTACTAATACTGGGTAAATACGGTAGATGCAAAACAAGCACATGAAGGGCTTGTATTGATTTGCCTTCGATTGAGGCCGATGACAGTGCTGGGAAAACCAATGTCCCCAATGTACAACCACTTGGGGATTGTGGCTGAATGGTCGAGGGTTGAGGAAGCCCGTTGGAGCTGTCAGCAGGCACTCGACATTGACATTGAACGAAGTGATCGCCACAACCGCACATTCTGAACCAGGCTTCTTGCAGCAGGGGATGCATTCACGTTCTTTTTCATACGCAATACACCGCACCACTGCACGGAGGTCGCTATTGCCCCTCCCCTCCCAATAGTTGTACCCTCTGCTTCCATGTCTCGGCCCTTGCCCCTCTAAACACAACCCCACCCGCCGGCGCCCAAGCCCCCCTCTCTCCACCCCTCCCCCCCTCCCCGCCCCACCCTCCGCGGGCCCCTCGCCCCACCTGCCGGCGGATGTCCAGCACCCGGGTCGTCCAATCCACGAGCGCGGGCTTCGCGATCCGATGCAGGCCGCTGCGGCGTGCCGCGGCGGCCAGGCCCGCCGCCTGGAGCTGCGCCGGCCGGCGGCAGCTCAGGGTGCCGACGGTGCGGGGCGATCTGATGCGCACACAAAAATATGTGGGGGGAATCGGAGCTGAGCAGATCCATTGTCGCGGGCTGTGTTTGTTGGGGGCGTGGGGGTGGGGATGGAGGGGTAAGATTTGGTGCAATGAGAGGAAGGAACAGGTGATGCAAAGGGCACCCCTTCCTAAGCAAATATGCGCGAGGCTCTTTTCCGTGGTGTGAGAAGATGATATAGAGCCTCCGATGCGAAAAGATGAGCACACAGCGCAAGCAGCACAACAGCCAAGGACACATGCACACAGGGGTCTGGAGGGGGGAGATGGTCTGTGTGTAGAAAGAAGGGGTTGACTGCGGTGCGCGGTCGGAGGGCTTTGGTGGTTTAGAGCGCCTTGGAGGATGCGGCGTGCCGCTTCGGTGGGGTTTAGGCGGTGGATGGTGCACCGGGGCCGGGCGAACAGGAGTGTGGGCATGCTGCCGACTCTGTGGCCGGCGGGAGCGTCCGCAGCCGCTGGAAGAATGATCGTCGCGGAAGGGAGCATCGCGTTTTGCATGGGCCGCATAGCGTCCTGATGTGACACTTGGCTTCTGTGTATGGTGGTGCGTGGACGTGGAGAATGTTCGAATGCTTTCTGGGGGCGTCGATTTTGTTGCAAACCGTGCTTGTCAATGCCGTGCGGCTGTGGCGCTGCATTGCGGAGGGACTCTTGCCAGCACAACCTGCGTTTTGTCCAGAATTGCCAACAAAACACCACGCCGAAAGAAAAGCAGGGCAGCATGTCGGTGTGGGTTGAGATGCACCTGAAAACATGGAAAACCTGTCGTGCATTGTAGCAAACCCTCTTGCAAGAATACATGGGCCCTTTTGCGCTTTGTGGTGCTGTTGGAGCCACCCATGGCAAGAGCTGAAGGATTGTGGGGCAAAATGTGGGCAAGGCTGCCCAGTCCATACCATCCAGATGAAATTGCAAGCATTGACCACCCCCTTAACTCAGTATGCGGGATTGTTGTTTTTCTGCCCATTCTAAAGCGGACAGCATGCAGATGGAATCCAAAACTCATAGCAGCAAGTCTTCTGTGGGGTGAAGTGTTGACCCGAGGTTTGATTTGAGCAGCGCTGTAGAGGAATGGGCGTTCCTAAGACAGAGGAACGGGAGGTTGGGACTGATGCAGTTGGGGGCAATGGCAGTGGCAATGATGACTTCCAGGGCAATGGCCGGGGGGATGATGATGATGCTGAAGATGGGGATTCTTCCATCGATGAAGATGAGCTGCTGAATTTGGCAGAGGTGCGGGTCCTTGTGGCAGGCTGTGTGCAGGCTGCTGTTGCTCCTTGTCCAATTATGTGAGGAGACAATGCTAGAAAATGTTGTGCATCTGTTCCATGTTGGCAGATCTCCAAGTAAACACACAAACTCGAATTTCGTTCCTGAATGTGGCCTATGGTTGCCATCTACACAACAGGAAAGAATGGAGAGAAAAGAAAGGGTTGCACGTAGGTGCGAAAGTTCTTGTGGGCAATAAGAAAATATGCAATTCCCACTTGGGGGAAGATGTTCATGTGGTGCTTGTCCACACTGCCAAACATTTTGCAGACACTCAGTTAGAATTCGTTGAAAGACACCTCAGCAAGAGGGCTCATGGCATTTGTGGTGCTATATGCAGAAAAGCGTGGAATACAACTTGCAACAGCGTTTGTCTCTGGGAGAGAAAAAAATGGAATGCAAAAGAAATGGAACCCACAGAAAGAAACAGAAAACTTGCACTTCGGCAATGAAAGTCATGATGTCATATTAAGAGGTTTGTTGGTGGGGAGCAAGCGCTGCCTTTCGACAGGAAGACATGTCAAAAAGTTGGCAGTCCCTGCTGTGTAAGATTGTTGTGAACACAAATGTTTTGCCTGGTAAAGTGGATAGGTGGGTGGGTGGGATGGACCTCGCAGAGCTTTGGTGGTCATAGCTGATGAGCCCTGCTTCAGGACGAGGCAGTTGTTTAGTTCATCAACGCAGGGGACAGCAAGGACAACTGTAAGATTCAAACGTTCATCATGGATGTAATGCAGGGGTGCAGTGAGGCTGGAACCAGAATTTGTGGTGCTGGCCCCATTGCTATCAATAAGGGGTTGATCCTGTGATACTCGTTCAGGTTTCGTGTGGGTTCTTGATCGCCATGCTTGTGCAGTCATGGTGGTCCAACTGCAGTTGCCAGCATTGGAAGCGACCTTCAACAATGCGCTTTATTGCTTGTCTGATTAGTAAGCCATGTAATGCGGACCTGTGTGATGCTCATCTACATGGTGTCAACATTTCCACTGCATCCTCATCTGTTCCTTGTTGCATCATTTTCCTCCTGTGAGTCTTGAGCATTAACACTGCAGGCCGAGTCCCTTGCTGCAGAAAAGGGGTTTGAGCTGCCGCAGGACTATGCTGCTGCTGCAAGGTCTGGTGGGTTGAGAGCATCCACTCTACGTGGATTTGCAAACGTGCAGGTGAGTCAAGTAACCTGGGCACACTTATGCATGCCTCCATTTTGTGGCGTTGCGTGGGTCAATTGCTCTGCTTGCATGGTGCTCCCTGATTGGTAGCATCGGATGCAAATGATGGATTGCTGCACAAGTGAAGGCTCATATCTGTTGGTTCTTGCACTGTACAGGCACCATTAAGTTTGAGTTTCGTGTTTTCTGCATTTAGATTCTGGATTTGCAACGAAGCCAGGCTGATTATTGGATATGTAACAACTCAGGGTTTGATTGCCAATCTCTTTGTTTAAGGCAGGTGATAGTAAGTTGTCCAGCGTTGTCCCATTGTGGCCCTTTAAGCATAGTACAGCTGCATTTTGATGGTGACTTTGCCTCTTCTTTGTCGCTAGTTGCTCAGCAAGTTCGTTTGGGTGCAATTTCAGGCCCTTCCCTTTGCTGGTGCACTGGTGTGGATGCTGCCATGGGTACGAGATCGCATGGTTGCAGACCCCCGTTTCCTCTACAAGGTGTTTGTCGAGGTTGCAATTGACTCAGGTATGGTTTGGTACTTACAAGTACCTGCAGGGCTGCTGTTGTGGAAGATTCTTTGTAAAAGAATCATTGTAATGAAAGCAACATTGTCATAATATCATAGTGAATATCACTAATCAAAACTAGGAAAAGATGCTTGCAAAAACTGTAAAACTTTGTAGCATACAGGACAAAAAAGTCACTCATTGGGTATCCCCCTGCTGAGAATATTGTTTGCGAGCATTGGTTTTGATGCTATGGAAAATGGTGGAGAGTTCTTCGAGCGCAAGGGAGAAGCACACAACACACAGAGGAGCATCTATGGCTCGATTACACACATTCACTGGGGCCCATGTCAGCAGATGCAGGTCTGTTGCCACAAGAGAATGTGCTATTTGCCAGAACCAAATGTATTACAGAAATGGTCCCAGTGCCTGAACAACAAGTTGATCTGAGACGCTTGCCATACCACCGAAGGCATACATTGTTTGCCGGGGTGTGACTCCAAATCCCCTCAGCTGAAAAGTCACCAGCTCTTTACAACCCTTTTGCGCTGTCAATGCGGGCAGATTGCAAGATGAATGTGTCCTTTACACCAACGTGAAAGTACAACACACAGGACATGTCACATGTCTCTGTACTGAACCCAGATCTCAAGACTCTATGTCTTGCCCCTTGTAGTGAACAAAGACCTTACAATGCTTGGCACATGCAGATTGTAAAGCAGTAGCTGTCTGTATGAACTTGAACCTGCGTCGTTATTGGTGTATGAATCTACGTTGGTTGTGTTTTGTCAGATTTTTTTTTCATTCTTCTCTCTGTTTCTCTATCTTGTGTTCTGTATTCTATGTCATCAAGGTATACTATATGTGTTGGAATCCAATCATTTGGTACAGGGTTCGAGATTGTCACAATGTGGCAAAACACTGCCCTTTCTGTGCAGCATGAGCACGGGCTGCATATTGGCAGTGCAGCATGTCATTGTTGTTCCTGTTGCTGAGTTGAAGAACATGTCTTTTGCATTATATAAAACAATGCGCTGGTCACGGCCTTCTCTCTGCCAAATTCAGCTGATCAGACATCCTTTGCTAGCTGCTTGCAAGGTCCTCACAATTCTTGCCAGGATCCTACCCAACCCTCCAACCACCCATCAGCACTGCCACCACCAAAGAGTTTTCTTGCTGTTTCGAAGACCTGAAAATGCCTGTCAAAAGAAAGACCCCCACCCCCACACCACATTATCAGTTGCTGTTGACAAAATGTGGCACAGGATGCCAAGGCCCCTTTGGTTGATCGCTAGAGAGTGGCAGTTTCAGATTTGCAATTGCTGCCACCTGAATGCAATAGCCCCAAAGGAAAGCGAGTTGGAACAGTAGATGCTTTTGTAGCACGTTAATATGTAGCCAGGCAATGCGCAGCATCTCTTGGTTTCCCCATGGGGTGCTCGCAGTGAGATGTGTGTCCTCTGAACTCCAGATGCTGATACCGGCAAACTGATGTGCAGCATTGAAGGCACATTGAAGCCAGGCTTGAGCATGTTGCACTTTCATAGCCCTCTGTTCATGGTTCCACAAGTGTGGACTGCAAAATCAGTTGCTATGTGTACCAAAGTCTGAGGCATCTTGTTGAGGCGCTTGTGACGGTGACCTTCATATGGATCAGGCGACGAACACTCCACCTGCTTTGCTGTGTTGCTGCGCTCTGGACTCAATCTGGTGGATGGCATAAGGCCTTGTATCAACCTGGACTTGCAAGGACGGGCTTGTTGCTTTCTGTGAAACACACTCGAAAGTCTCAGATGCAGCACTGCGGCACACTCACTGTGTGCATTTATGGGTAGTTTCCGCAGGTGCCAGCATGGTACAGACAGGGCTGATGTTTGCATTTGCGTGCACAGGTTGTGCCACTGTCGCTGAGGTCCGCAAGCGAGGTCAGAATTTTTGGGGAGAGTTCGAGTTCTACTTGTCGGACATGGCAGTGGGATTTGTCCTGGATGTTGCACTCGTGACGATGCTGGCACCTGTGGCTGTGGTGGGGGCAAAGCCACCGTCGTCCAGCATGTCAGGTACTGGCTGCTCTGACTGTTTATGTAATTCGAAGTCGTGCATCTTGGAAATGAAGATCCTGCTCATCTACCAAGGACAGTTGTGGGCTGTGAGGTGGCTGTGGGTGTGCTGAAATGCATGTCGTCAACCTGAGTACCCAAATTTTGCAAGAACACCCCACATTCTAGCAGGGCGCTGCCACTGTGGATTTTTGTGCAAGAAGTGCTCACAACAGCGTCGTTGTTTTATAGGGTTTGGAATACACTGTTGCATGGCTTCAACAACAAGTGCATGAGCAAGGGTGCAGGAAAGCTCTGAATCGGCTGGAAAATTAGGAGCTGAAGCAGCGCCTGAATATATATTTGAATAGATATTGGAATAGCTGCCTTCTTCAGCACATAGATTTGACGTTGTGTGGCACCTGAACAGTGGCCACCAAATGCAGCTTAGCAATGTCTGCATTTTTAGCAAGATGTTATTGCCAATGCAGCTTCTGTTCCTATGCCGCAGGTCTCATGCGTTGGTGGGCTCGACTGCCCAGTGCAGTGTTTGAAAAATCCATACCCAATGTGAGGAAATACACCCTTGCAGATCGCGTTGCGTGTTTCCTTGTGAAAGGCATCGAGTATAGCATCGTTGGACTCTGCTGCGGCTTCGTGGGCCAGGGTGTGGCCAACAGCCTCATGTTGCTCAGGTACGGACTCACCATTGCAGGCATTGTGTGCCATTTTTTGGTGCGTGCTCTATGTTCACAGCCCGTTGTCTTTGCTGCCCTTTGTTTTGAGCGTTTCAGGCCTGTTTTATTCAAGCTGTACTTACAGCCCGTTTGAGCATTCTCACCCCATTTGCCGAGAAAGGCCTATATTTAGTGCATTCACAGACTGTTTCATGTTGCGAATATGGACCTTGAAAAACAACATTCATACCTATACAATAAGACAGTTTGACACATGACTTCATGTCTAACGAACGCTGGGCTGCAAGGTGTGCCAGGAAAGACAAAGCATAAAATTGGGTGTTTGTCGGTTGTGCAGACGGCGGCTGCGTGGCGGCGCTACGGAAGAGGACGTGATAGTGCCGCCACTGGTGCGCACTGCCCTTGTGTGGGCTCTGTTCATGGGGGCATCCTCCAACGTGCGGTACCAGACTGTGGTGGGCCTGGAGCGTACGGTGGACATGACCATCGCCAAGACCGTGCCACAGGTGGCTTATGGAACCACCGTCATCATCCGGTTCATCAACAACGTCATCGGTGGGGAGAATTTCATCGACCTGGCACGATGGGCTGGCGTGCAATGAGCTGGGGCAGACCTGCGGTTGTGGGGAGGGCGTGCATGCAGAGCGTTGTGAAGGATAAAGGCAATTGGGTGCACACAGATGTAGCCCTGTTTGGGGCTCTTAGTTAGCGGTGAGTCTATGAAGGGTGACATACTGGGTGCTCGATGGTCTGTTGGGTGCCTGCACTCTGGCGTGGGGCCCGTATGCAAGGCCAGCACTTCCAGGTTTAGGGTAATGCAGTGTTTTGTGGGCGCCCACTGTGGTGCACCGTGTGTTGGGCCCTTCCTGCACTTTGGGAGCTTTTGGCAGCTTTGATGCCCTATGCAGCTTGAGGCTGCACGAGGCAGGGGCGCTCAGTGTCTGAAGGCTTCCATTGGTGGACTCCTGCAGCACTAATTGGCCATTGGTTAAGTTCCTTCACCGTGAGCGTTCCTGCGCGCCTGAGTGGAAATCTGACCCGACTTGGAGGGCTATTAGGGACCCTGTTGTGGGGTGCGGTCAAACTCGTAACATGAGCGTGCATCCCTCTTCAGGTTGCAGCACAATGGGCAGCAGAGGCCACATGGGGGGATTGCAAGGCAAGTGGCTGTCAAGGAGGGCTGGGATCAAGGGCCCCCTGGGGTGTTGCAAGGTACTAACTAGGCTTTCCTCCAAAGTGCCTTCAAAGCACCGTCCTGGCAACGCAGTTGCATGAAAGGGTGCCATTGAGGGGCTTTGGAGATCTGTCACCCCAGGGGCTCTTGGGGCGTCTGTGGCGGGCGGAGTGTTAGCATGGGGGGGCTTTTTGGCCGGGCTTCTTTATTTGAGAGACGCACGAAAATTCGTTGGAATTCTTTGCATTTATTGGGGGGCGTCACAGGCACGGGCGGGGCAAGGCGGGGCGCCTCCCAACGATGAGTCGCACTGGCCGTGGCGGCCTGTGGCCGCAGCTGCGTGGGGTTGGATTCCATGTGCGGCATAGCATTGACAGTAGACTGGAAGTAGAGTGGTATACATAGTCGGTGCGTTGAATGTGGAATTGGATGCAGCCGATGCAAGCGAAAGGCTCAAGGGTGCACAGGAATGGATGGTGTGTTGTGCGGGGTGGGGCGTTTTGAGCGATTGCAGTGCAGCTGTGTCCCCATTGTGGCTGTCCATTGCAGAAGGTCGAATCTCGAGCGGTGGCAGGTCGCGTGTGGGAGTGGCCCCTGCGCTTTGACCGTCCAAGATTCTTCGCTTCCAACCATGGCACACAGTGGCGCCCCCTCCTGAGCAAGGCTTTCACAAGACTGTGCAAGATGGTGCACAGGTCGCCAAGTGCATCACACTTCAACCGACTCCTCACAACAATCTGAGCGAGCTCGCAGTAGCTGTTTTCAGGAAACTAACTCTTGGTAGACACAAATTACCCAGTTCTGATGCGATTTGGCTCAAAAACAGGTTTATTTGCTTTAAGTGTATCACTTTGTTCGTGATTCCATGCATTGACCACTATTTCTCTTGTAGAACAACATATTGGGGAGGATGGCATGAGAAAGCCCCCAAAACAAGAAATGATGGTTTGGTGAAAAGACTCCAGTGTTTTGGATGGAACTCTGGAATCGTTTGACCAATTTGGCACGTGGGGTGGTTTGATCACATTTGTGTGTTTGGGGCAACATGGGTAATTGAGGTATGTGCGACAACCTTGGGAGCATATTACCTCGAGTAGGAGAACGTTGTGCACTTCACAAAAGATGTTTTCAAGGTGTCTTGCCCACAAGGAATCCTGTTGGAACATAGCGGGCTCTGTCTTAGAGCTTCTTTATGCTGGATTTATCTCTGCTCTTCACGTTGATTTACAAGGATTCTTGGATTTGCAAACCTACTATTAAAATTGCCGTTAGTCATAAGCACCGGTACATCAAACGCGGGCTTATGACCAACATAGGGCAGCTGATTGGGCCATTATCAAACAAGTCAGGATAAAAGTGAAAAGAGAAGGGAGCAAGGAAAAAAAGATACGCGTTACATAAAAAAATCAAGGGGAAACTATTAATATGATGCAATGGCATATACAGAAAACATCCAACGGTCATTATGCCTTTACGGTTTATGGTGCCCAACATGTTGCCTTGGCGATGGCTATAGGAGAAAGACCAAGGAAACAAGGCAAGCCACAATCCCTTAGTGGCTGCCTAGATGTTGTGACTGGTGGACATTTGGTCATTTATAAGAAAATTATAGTCACAATATGTTGCTGTTGGGAAACAACCTTAGTGGCGACTTTTGGGATTGTTTAGAGTCGATTGTATTTGGTTACCTTGGAGTTTGGTGCCCACCACTTAATGGTTGAACATTATTACTATTTGGCCAATCTATCGGACATTCTTAAGACCCCGTCCTTAAGACCCCCACGGCTAAGGAGGCTTGCGCATGGTGCGCAAAGAAAATTGGAGCCCCACAGATGGTGCAGACTCGTTTGGGGAGCCACGGCAAATATGTTGGATGTTGCCGCACCCCTCGCGGTGGACAGACATGGCAGGAACAGGGCCCCTGTCTTGGTACCGTATATGAATGCGCTTTCCATGCAGGGGTAGAGAAACTTGCACGACATGGTAGCGGGGCCTTTCGGCATTTCCTTTCGAGTGGCTTGCGGCCAGGGGGACTGGCCTGCTGAAGTTTTGTATAAGAACGACAACGCCGTGGACTTGGCAATGGCACCTCTCCCGAACGGCGCAGCCAATGCGCCTTCGGTTGGAGGCATTCATCATGTCCGCCATCCCCACAAGGCGTTGGGCATTCAGATTGCAGCAGACGGTCCGTTTCCACTACCAGAAGAATAGGGCAGCCTAGACGGAGGGCACGTCCCTTGCCTAGACTGCCGTGGAAATGGATCGGCCTTACCGGAAACCAAGAGGGTACGCATGGCCCGGCCAAGGAGCTGCCATTTCACCGGCCAAAGGCAGCAGGGGTGGCGCGGCACTCCAATCTCTGCCGTATTCCGCCCGGGATCGGGCTACTTCGCTCCTCGGTCGCTCGCAATCGCCCGGCGGGGAGATGCTTCAGGCATCGATCCCCCTGCGCCCGGCTCGGAGATGCCGGCTGTGCGCGCGTAGTCGGGGCACTCGCTTGCTCATTCCGCGTGGTGGGCCCAGGGTACGCGGCCCGCGGGGAGCTTCCGATAAGGCAGTACGGCGTGTGGTCAGCAAGGTGCGGCGCGCCGCGGAGGGGCCACGCCCAGAGTGGGCAAGGATCAATCATGGATACGGGAAACAGAATCTGGAATTATAGAGTGGCGCATGTACGCCATATTTATAGTCCCATCAAGCCTAGACCTTAAAGTTGTGCCCTTAGAATGGCATGTCCAATGCTTTCCTTGTCTTTGGATATGAAAAGAAGACTTGAAAGGCATTCCCTTTATACCGCAAATTGGATCAATTCCACCAAAGGCGCAACTATTAGCAAAATAGCTCATTAGCACAAGAATGTGCCTGCTATCTGAATTGGCTAGTGTCGGCCTCCCTTCGGGCCCCCGCCGTCGCGAGGGGGCCTCCGATGCGCGTGGTGGTTAGCCGCTCGATGCTCCGCCTCCGCCGGGTCCGAATCGTCGGACTGCGCATGCTGGGCACGGCGCTCGTGGCGGTATGCTCGGGGACAGGCGGACTCGCGGGCTCCGCCGGCCAGGTCGGCTGAGGTCGCGGGGTCGGGTCGCGGGCACAGTTTGCTTGCGCGAGAAAGGATCATTACTACACCGCATTCACCACATAAGTACGGTGGTAAGCTCGCGGGCCACCGGTGCGGAAAGAACTCGTGTCATGGCACCCACACCGGTGCCTTAGTGTACTGTCATTGTACCCATACACTCCATATTCTAGTAATAAATGTTCTGGCCGTTCATAATCTGATAATCACTCCCCCTTTGAGTATTTTCGTCCCGAAAATCAAATCATGAACCACCACTCGATCCACCCGTGTCCTCTATTGGTTGGTCCCTCTCAATCATCATTGGAATATCCTCGGGAGGTTTAATTTCCGTCTCCGGTACCCAAGTAGCGTCCTCAATCGGCCAGCCAAGCCACAAGATAAGAAACTCACGAGTCCTTCGATTTCCTATCCGAACATATCGCCACCGGAGCAACTTTTCAATTTCGTATTCGTCATCCACCATCTCAATTTCCGGAACAGGAGCCTGCTCACGTTGATCCCAATCACTGTCACGCCATGCCTTGAGTAGGCTCACATGAAACACGTCGTGGATATGCTAATCATCAGGAAGCTGCAGTCGGTAGGATTGGGTACCAATCCGTTCGATGATATGGAAGGGCCCCACAAAACGTCTCCGCAGCTTTGCCAGTGTTCCACGCATCCGAAGGTTCATAGTGGATAGCAGAACAAGCTGATCCACTGCGTAGGCCTCAGGGGAGTGACGACGATCGTAATATTTCTTGTGTTGCTTGTTCGCCCGGTGGAGATTGTTCCGCGCCTTGGTAAAAGTTCGATGCAAGCGCTGAGCGAAGCTAGTCACTGTCTCAACAGGAGAAATGTCAGTCCCTCTGATCAGCTCATTTGGAGTCACTGGGTGATATCCATAATTCAGAAAGAAAGGCGTGTACCCCGTGCTCCTATTTGGCTGGCTGTTCACACTAAATTCAACAATAGGTACCAATGAATCCCAATCACAAGGCTCTCCCAATTCATGCACAGTGCAACGCAGTGTTTGTTCAAAAATTGCGTTCATTCTTTCTACCAACCCTTGAGTCTGTGGGTGGTAGGCACTGCTGAACCTCAAGTCAGAACCAACCAATTTCCAAAGACTTCGCCAAAAAGCACTTGTAAATCTGCGATCACGATCGGAGTACAGTGCCTTGGGCAATCCATGAAGTTTTCCCACATGTTGCCAATACAAAAATGCAGTTTCAGATGCTGAAATCTCTTCCTTGCAGGGTACAAAATGCACCATCTTTGTGGCCCTGTCGACCACTGTAAGCACAGCATCGTTACCACATTGAGTCGTTGGCAGCTTGGTAATGAAGTCCAAAGTTACCTCTGTCCACTTTTGC